TATCAAATAAATCAATTATTACATAACTCTATCAATTTGGCAAGTGACGATATTTTTATAATTTTTTTTAAAAAAGAAAAAGGAAAAAAAAATGTAGCTAAAAATGTAAAATAAAGAGAAAAAATAACTAATTCCCACCCCCACACCTAAATTTTGCATTGTCCTCAATGCAAACTCTATGATACATAAAGTAAAGCAGATAAGAAGTGAAGCACTTACATTTGGTCCGCTGATAAAAATCTGCAATTACCTTTGGTCTGAGGAGGATGAAAACAAAAATTTATTCTTTTTTCTTTTTTTTCTTTTCTCTCTTTTTTTTCCTTTTTTTCTTCTTCTTTTTTTTTCTTTTTCCTTTTTTTTTTGAAAACTGAACAAGAAACTCTCACATGAGAGAAGAATAAATTCTTTTTATTATTCTGAAATAAACAAAATAAACAATGTAGAATGAAATATTCAACATGAAGAGTTCCTGTTCTACATTGAATCCTACCTTACTGTTGAAAATTCTTCCCCGGATTTTAAACAAATTCAGAATGATATAATCAATAATGTGAATTTTCAAGCATTTCGGGGTGTTCAGTAATTCTTGCTTTTTTTCTTTTTTTTTCTTTTTTTAACAACTGAACAAGAAACTCTCAAATGAGAGAAGAATAAATTCTTTTTATTATTCTGAAATAAACAAAATAAACAATGTAGAATGAAATATTCAACATGAAGAGTTCATGTTCTACATTGAATCCTACCTTATTGCTGAAAATTCTCCCACGGATTTTAAATAAATTCAACATGATATAATCAACAATGTGCTGAAATTCTAAGCATTCCGGGGTGTTCAATGATTTTTGTGGCAATGGAAGGTAGGTATTATTGGTGTCATGCATATTGGACTTAGATTCTTGATTTGTGAATGTTTGTTCTCTAACAACCAATTTTTCTTTAACAATTTTCTCAACCCCAAGATTCATGGTTGATGTGTAAAAATTTGGTTGTTGTTTATTTTCCAAAAATCTTAGTTCATCAAGAAAGAGTTTTTCAAAATTCAGTTCAAAACAGCAATTGTCCAACACAGTTTCTTTATTTTGACAAACCCGATCTGCTTCTCCTAATATTTTTAGCTCCTCACCGAAAATTTCCTCAAAACTTAGATCTGACTCTTCTTCTTCTTCCCTCGGTCTTTCCTGAATTGAATTATCAGGGGAAGAATGAATTGGAACAAGAATTTGGCTTTAAAGGTGTTCTTTCCTGATTATCGACCTGTTTTCCTGACTGTAGTGCATTCATTTGAGTGTCCTTAGGATTGACCACGGGTTGACTCAGAATTTCTCCTTCCTCTACTTCACTTATGGCACTAGCTAGTTGATCAATATGGGTTTCTAATCTAGCTAGGGCTTGAGTGTTAGAGTTAAGTATGAGTTCGGTTGATTGCATAAAGGAGTTCATCGTGTAGGATGTTTGAGTTAACATATCCGTGGCTAGTGTGGAGGCCTTAATAATGATTTCAAAACCTTTTTCCAAAAAATTGAGACGTTCATCATGATCTGTATCAAGAGGAGTGTGAGTTACAACTTGATGATGAGGAGACTGATTTTGATGTGACAGATTGGGTTGTTGAAATTGTGGATGAGAATTGAAAGGAACTGTGTTTTCCCTAGGAAAATGTTGGGTCAAAGAGGGAGTGAAGTTTTGAGTTTCGGAGTGGTTTTCCTGATTCCATGCAATGTTTGTGTAACTTGCCCAACCTGGGTTGTAGGTTGGAAAAAATGGATCATTTACCGAATACTGATATGGACTCTCTACAAACTCCCGGACTTCATTGGAAATTTCAATCCTATTGGGATAACATAAATTTTGAAAAACTTGTGGATTAGCCATTTGTTCAAAATGAATTTGTTGATGTGTATTGTCCCTAATCCACGTTTTGCATGCACCAAAAACAATTACTTTTTATATAATTTTTTTTGTATTTCTTTTTTTTATTTTTTATTTTTTTTTCTTAAAGAAAAGAAAGAAAAGTAGTTTTTTTTTGAGAAGATAAAGAAAAAGAAAAATCCTAACTGAAACAAATCAAAACAATCACTTTTCAATCAACTCTAATTCTAGGGTTTAGCCTAACTCAACTAGACCAGCTTCTAACCAAAAACTCCTACAGTGAAAAGATAAAAGTTTTACCCGGGTAGTTAGCCAGGTAAGGATAGTACTAGAGGGTGATCAAAGATCAATTAAGTACCTCTTTCCTTGCGGAGCGCTTTACGCAACCCCTAAACCTTGCCTTAGACACCAACTAATCTGAGAAAACTTAAACCGGTTCACTTAAGGATTTCTTGTTCCTTATTGAGCTCGAATCCTTAGGGGCCAACGTCTAATGAGTTTTATTAGGCTTGGGTGGTGTAGTGAGGAATTAGTGATTTTTGGGCTAAGGAAAGGGTGATGAAATCCCTCACCTTATCTTGATTATGGGGTTTTGCCCTTAAAAATATTTTGAAGTGTGTGCCAAATCAAGATGCTCAAATCACTTGGTGAATTCCTACTAACTATATGAAATGCAACCCTATGAACTAAAAGCAACTAAAAAGGATGGAAGAAAAAAAATCATTTTCTTTTTTTTAATTAGGGTTAACAATCAAACAAATGAGAATGGGGGATTTGTTTGAATTTATTATCTTGTTAGTAAATGTCAAAGTTAAGGGTGAATTTTATTATGGTCAACGGAAATAAAATCTTTTTTTTAAGATCCTATTTGTCACTAATTGTGAGAAACTAACTAAAAGTGTGGAATTGAAAATATAAGGAAGAAGACTTACCACAAGCGAATATCCAATTCCTCAATCTCCAATTCTTGATCTTTAATCTCCAAGTAGTTCTTTCACAATAAACACACAAGTTAAAGAACCAAAATAATTAAAACCTACTTAAGCACCTTCCCCGGCAACGGCGCCAAAAACTTGATGCGGCATAAACATGTACCAAAAAGGTTGCAAGTGCACAACCGTGTCAAGTTATAGTATTTAAGATATCGATCCCACGAGGAAGGTGTTTTGTAGGAGAAAATATAAAATCGGTTCTTATGTTGTGTGTGTGACAAGTAGGAGTGATAAGTGAATGTGATTGTGAAGAGATTGAGAGAGTGAAAGTGGTGTGTAAATAGGTGCAAAGTGTAAATGAGAGTGAGTATGAACAATAAGGTGAGAAGGAAAAATGAATAAAATCAAGAAACAAATAAAAAATTCAAGAATGAAGAACAAAATTCTAGAATAAAAGAAAATGCAAGAAATTAAAGATGGTGGATTCAATTATAGATATGGGTAATCTACAATTGAACCCACTTCTTAGAAAAGGGTGATTCCCTAGAGGGTTCTAGCCTAAAGGCGAATCAAACAAAATAAAAATAAACAAAAAGAAAAACTAAACCCAAGAGGGTTCTAGCCTCAAGGTGAATAGTATAAGAAATTAAAATCTAACTACAAAATAAATTGTAAAATCTAAACTACAAAATAAAATTGCCAGAATTAAATGTAAGAAAATAAATCTACTCTATAAGCATGAAATAAATCTAAGGCAAGAGGGTTCTAGCCTCTTGGCTATTTAACAAGAAAATAAAATCTAACTACAAGCATAGAAATAAATCTAAACTAATAAGCAATAAAAGAGAAAAAGAAAAGAAATGCAAACCTTCAAATAATTCTCCATCTTCATCTTCATCTTCATCATCCAACAAAGAGAAGAAGAGAAAAATTTAAAGTGGTGAAAAAATTATTATTATTAATTGCAACAAAAAGTTACAATTTTGGAAGGCCTTCTCAATTAAGAGTAGCCCTCCTCTCCAAAAGGAGTTACAAAAATTTTCATACCTCTAACCCCTCACTCTCTACCCGTATTTATAGTAAACATCAGTGAATGAGAGCCATTGGATCAAACTTGAGCCCCAAGACAAGCAAAATCAGCCATTGACGCGCGCTACAGTAATCTGGTATCGATGCAGGCATCGATGTAGGTATCGATGCCAGCATCGATGCCCACATCGATGACGACATCGATGCCCAACATCGATACCTATTATTTCCAAATTCTGATTTCACGGATAGCTTCGTCTCGTCGAGATAGGCGATTTTCATATATTATATGTTAAATTCCGCCTTCCGGATTAGGAGATATCGTCGTTTCTTTGTGGCCAACCATTTTGAATATGATTTCTTTTCATATTGGATTTTTGATTTTCTCCGGCTTCTACAGGCTACACGACTTCATTCTTGGCTTTTGGATAATTTGGAAATTGATTTTCCAATGTGCTTCTTTGCTTCATTTCTTCATTTAATCAATGGGTTTTTGTTGAGAGATGAGAGTTTGAGATTTATTCTTCATTAACCTGCAATTAAAAGATAAAAATAATTATTAGTGGTATATTTATTCATATAAAATAGATAATGAGGGTATAAAATTGTAATAAAATATGATTATCATACACCCTTAAGGTGAGTTAGTGGTTGTGACAATTTGAAGCCAAGTGAGATAACTGCTCTAACGAGTTAATGTTAACCATTGAGATAACTTAAGTGGCGCAAAGTGAGATATGTTTCTATAATGGAATAATTTTAATTATTATACTATTATATTTCATATTATATATTTGTAATATAATTAATATGTATTAGTTATTAAATATATGAAGGTTCCCCAGGCAATCCCATTTGCTCTCAAAGTGGGATATCAATATCCCAACGTTGAGCGGAGGCAAATTTTCTACATGGGTGCAAAATCCAATTTTATCCTAAGCGAGATAATCGTCCTACACCGATAGCACTAAAATGCAAAGTCCCGATCTCCTTGCATCAGCAACACCAAAAGATAAAAATCACAATCTTATTACACCAATAAATAACGCCAAAAAATAGGGTCTCCCAATTTTACCCTTTTAATCACTCTCAATAACCCGCGGGCGCTCGCGTGGCGATCCCTCACGCCGTCATGCGGACCCCACGTGAGCTCTACAAGGATCCAATATAACTTCCAGTTTTGTGAAGCGCCTTCGACCGCCTGGTAGCGAACCCCTTCACGGCTTCACCAAACAACAAGTCCGTCTTCTCCTCAAAAGCAATCAACTGAAGGAAAAAAGGAAAAATTAAAAAAAAATGGTATTTTCCCCATCTTCACTTTCTAATTTCTTTATTTTTATTCTAGTTTCCTCTGTAAAATTTGTTGCGAAATCTGATATTTAACTGCCACATCACAAGCGTGCACGAATAGTTAGTTGTGGTAATTATGCAAAAGGTTTCATTATTTTTGTTGGCCTTGTGATTATGTAAGGTGCTGCACCCTATGCTTTGCTAAGTTCAATAACTCCTCAATTTCGAAGATTTTAAGTTCTACATATATATTGGTTTGAACTCCAGTTTCATGGTAGAATAGTATTGATTTAGGTGTGAAAGGGAGCCAGGGGTACTCAAATTTAGTAAAGGTGTTGGTATATTAAAGAATTCTCTTGGAATTGTGTGGGGTGGATATTTTTTAAATCTTCGAGTTACAAATGACTTGATAATTAGACTTCAAAGTCTGACTCAACTTGTTTAATTGTGAACACGTCTTATTTACCATACTCTTTGATTAGTAAGGCAGACGGTTTTATAGGTTGACAGGTTGTTTATTTTCTGGAAATATTAGCGAGGCTGGTGAATGCCACTTCTCGGATCTGTCAGCCTGTTGGGGAATGTAAGCTGTGTTATCTACGGAGTGTAGCATGTTGTTTGGCTCAAATCACTACCAAAATCAACTAGCAGATGCTGCACTTTAGTCTTTAGACTTACTGATAGGATCAGCTGCAGCCGCAGATTTGTTCTAGATGAGATTTTATCTTTTATATAGATAATTTGTTTGATGGATTTTTAGTTGTTTGGATAAGATTTCAATTTTATAGATTATTTGGTCTTAACTTTAGGATTAGTTTACATAAGATTTTCAGTTTAGAGATTATTTCATATGTCCAAGGTTAGTTTTCTATCTTATAAATACCTGTACTCCTCTTTAAGGAGGCATACAATAATTTGATTTATGAAAAGTTTTGTGATAAAAGTTTTTGTGAGAGATTCGATTAGTATACGAGTTACTCATAATTGCATGTAAGTTGTAAGGGTGTGAGTCCTGCTTATCTTAAACCCTAGTTTTAATCCTATCCACATATTTAAACCCCTTATCAGATCCTATCATTCATTTAAAATAAACCTTGACGTTAATCCCTCATCAGAGTCCTCTGCCGTTGTTCCTTATGTGAAATATTTTCATGCGCCTTCCAACCAAAGCCTTTCCTCAAGCGATTCTCTGTTTATGCCTCAACCATGATCACCATCATCACCCTCGATCTCGCCACCTCCTTCGTCTCTTTCGGACACAACAACGACATCAACCAGCCCTTGACTAGGTTATTAGCAAGCCCAAACTCAAGAAAAGTCCTTGATAGCTCTATTGGGGAATTTTAGTCCCCCCACCTACTACGATCTGCGCAACTTTAAAATTAATTCACAATCAACAAGGTATAAAACAACCACAATAAAAAAGAAAGAACACCGAGATTTACATGGTTCGGTCGACCAACTTCAACCTACGTCCACGGGACAACAATACGAGAAATCCACTATGTATTGGGGAGAACTACAAGAGGAACCACTCAACTCTCGTCTCTCAATCTCTCAACATCACATACATAATCAACTCTCATATTATCTCCAAAGCCCTCTGAAGAGATGAGCTCAGGATTCATGTTGTCAGGATGGCGGTCGACCGGCTCGGTCGACCGCATTCGTGCACAAGGCTTCCTGTGCGTCTGGAAGGAGATCGGTCGACCGGTGCGGTCGATCTATTCTAGGAGCAATTGGAGAGATTGAGAGTTGATTGTTGAGGGTTTATGAGAGATTTGTAACCCTAGTTTGTTCCTCTTGATTTCTAATAGTGAAAACTCCCCCCTCCTTGCCCCGTGGACGTAGGCATCTTGCCGAACCACGTAAAACTGGTGTTTGGTTGTTTGTGCTGTTGATTTTGGTTGATTGTTTATCTTTCTTGGCGATTGTTTTGGTTTCTCGAGGCACAACAATTGGTATCAGAGCTCCGGGCTACGCTTGGGCTATTTTGGAGGAGTAGATCGCTTTGAAAGTTCATCTAGGGCTTCGTTTGGTGATAAAGGTGGGATCTTTTCAGTAAAAATCTCGTCATTTTCAATTTGGATCTATTTCTCGTTTGTTTCCGCATTGGTTTGGTGGTGCTTTGAGATGTATGGCTGAAAAAGATAAAAGTGGGGAGGGTTCTTCTGGTGTGAAGGCCGTCCAAAGTTTGAATATACATTCTATGAAAATAGATGTGGAAAAGTTCAACGGCACAAATAATTTTGGACTTTGGCGATGCGAAGTCATGGATGCGCTAAATGCGCAAAATTTGGAAGATACATTGGAGTTGGACGGGAAACCGGCCGACATTGATGAAAAGGTTTGGAATAAAATGAATAGAACGGTGTGTGGTGTGATTAGGTCTTGCCTTACCCAAGACCTTAAATATGATGTGATGAATGAAACTTCGGCAAAGAAGATTTGGGAGGTCCTAGAGGGCAAATATTTGACGAAGAGCGTCGAAAATCGTTTGTATTTGAAGAGGAGGCTTTATCGCTTCCAATTGAAGAAGGGGACATCCATTAGTGATCACATGAACCACTACACGAAACTACTTGCAGATTTGGCGAATGTAGATGTCAAGGTTGATGACGAGGACAAGGCATTGTTGTTATTGAGTTCCTTGCCCGACGAGGAATATGAGACCTTCGTCCTAACTCTTATTAATGGAAAGGCATCACTTTCGTATAGTGAGGTCACCGCAGCCCTTGTGAATTATCAACTTCGAAAGAAGGACAAGGAGACTTCCATCGAGCCGGTTGCTGGTGCATTGGTTGCAAGAGCTAGAAGTCCAAACCGTGGAAGAAGGTCGCAGTCTAGAGTGGGGCATCCTGCAGTTGGTAGGAATCAGTGTACCTTTTGTAGAGAGGATGGACATTGGAAAGCCTAATGCCCAAAATTGCAAGCTGTGAAGAATAAAGGGAAAGCTATTCAAGCTTCAGAGGTGAATATTGCCAAGGCTAGTGGCGATGTTTCAGATTCAGATTCTTCGGGCTATTCGTGCCCAGCTCTTCCGTCAGTTGATGTTGCCGACTCCACCGAGTGGATATTGGATTCTGGTGCTACTTACCACATATGCCCTAGAAGGGATTGGTTCTCTAGCTTTCAGGAGTTGGAAAGAGGGAATGCTGTTCTCATGGGTAATGATCACAGATGTCCTATTGATGGTATTGGTACCGTTCGGATTCGGATGAGTGACAGGATGATCCGGGAGTTGGCTGATGTGAGGTTCGTTCCTCAACTGAGGAAGAACATCATTTCACTTGGGGTATTGGAGGCATCAGGCTATAGGGTGATCTTGGCGGATTCTCGCTTGAAGGTCACATCGGGGTCCATAATTGTGATGAAGGGAGTCAGACGGAGTAACTTGTATTATCTGCTTGGGAGCACGGTAGTTGATAGGGCGCTGACTACTTCTATGGCTAGACTGTGGCATTGTTTGGTGCTGGGATATATTATTGGTTATACCGTGCACAGATTGTTGAGGAGTGCTATGACCTGCAGATTGAAGTCCTGTGAGCACATTGGTATGAGCGAGAAGACCGAGGTGGAGTTCAGCACTTCTATCCACCGATCGAGGGGTCTTATTGGAGGTGTTCAGTCAGGCATTGGGGGGCTTTCCGAGGAGGCATCATCGGGAGGTAATCGTTATTTTGTTTCCTATGTTGGGGATTGTACTAGGCATATTTGGGTTGCAACCAAGTCCCGTTGGTATAAAGACCTAGTAGTCCGCAACAGTTGGAGGAGGTGTATGGACAGAAAGGTTACCAGTCGTACTTATTCTAGTAGGAGTCCTTTCTTGCATTGGTGCCGAGCTCACAGCAGTTGGAGACACTTCAGAGGGAAGGAGACAGTGGGGCGACGTGATGAGATGGCGGATTTAGTGGGCCGTTCTTTTCTGGAGGAGGATCGGTATTGGTTGTCGAGCAGTGGATCTGGTATTCAGGCTTCGACAGGTTTGGGTCATCTTATGTGGTTGCCGACTGCTGCGTGTAGAGTTGTTAGATCTGGTAGAGCTGCTTTAGATTTTGGTCGGCGTCGGATATTTGGCTACCCAGCACTTGGTCACATCGTTGATGTGAGGTTGGATCCGATTGCGCAGTTGGGATTCAGGAGTTCATTTGGCTATCAGTTGGGAGCTTCTGAGTTTGGTCTGAGCAGGTTTGTCACTTTGGACTCTCGGCAGGTGGAGAGTATTGATCAGGTCAGAGGGATATCGCAGCAGGTGGAGGTTGATGCTACTCCACATTGGGTGGGGATTTCCCCACATACTCCAGGTCATTCTGCATTGGTTGGGATTGTTGATTTGGATGCAGCTGGTGGATATGTTTTGGATACGACCATTGTTACATCTCAGGTGGAGGTATTGGACTGTTTTCAGTTTGGGGTCGTTGATGATGCTATCAGCCGCAAATTGGATTGAGGGCCTTTGGAGGCCCATAGAGTGAACTACGTGAAGGCTTGATTCCTTGGGCAAGAGGATACGTAGGCAGTCTTTATGATGCAGCCGATTTGGTGAGCGACATCGATATTTGGGGAGAGTGTTCGCATTCCCATTTAGGTCTCAACAAGTGAGGCATTTGGTGTAGTCGGTGTAGGCTCAGTTGTTTGGTGAGTAGACACAATTGGTTTGGGGTTGAGTGTTCGCACTCCCGTTTGGATCTCGACGTGTTGTGATTGGAGTCCGTTGTCATGAGTCCGTTGCCATGGCATACTGGGTGCAACAGTTGAGGTATTGGTTTGATCGGTGTCGGCTCAGTTTGGTAGAATCTTCGCCGAGGTGGAGATTTGAAGAGATAAGCTCAGGATTCAGATTGTCAGGGTGGCGGTCGACCGGCCCGGTCGACCGCATTCGTGCACAAGGCTTCCTGTGCGTCTGGAAGGAGATCGGTCGACCGGTGCGGTCGACCGACGGTTCTCTGGAGTTTGGGTTTTCTACTGAGAGCTGGTCGATCGACCGGGCCGGTCGATCGGAATTGATC